AACAACCATAACAAACAAATAAACAAATAGCTGCTATGGTTGCAAATACATTCTAGAGTGGTGAGAGTGGTAGGAGCGAGCACTGCTGGGAAGTTCCTGCGGTGCCTGAGGGGGAGTCTACACCAAGAGGGCTTTAGGGGAGGTGGTGAGAAGTGCTTGGGTGCTGGATAGATTTTGAGGGTAAAGCTAAGAAGACTGTAGACAAATTGGATGCCGGAACACAGAAAACAAAAGCAGTCAAGCAGGACTCCCAAGTTGTTGGTCCTGGGTAGCTGAAAAGCTGAAATTATTTAGTGAAGTTGGGAAGATTGAGGAATGAAGAGCAGGAGCTCAGTGTGAAATATAAGGTTGAGATACCTATTTGGGAGCCACATCAGTATATCCAGAAGGCAGTTGGATTCTGCATCCTGACCTTCAGAGTAGAGGTTAGGCCTGAAGATACAGGTGTGGGAGACATCAGTATAGATGGTATGTATGTACATATGCACGTAGGTATTTTTTGCCACGGGATGTGTTTTACTTTCATTAATCATACATATAATTATACATATATTATATAGAATTATTATATAATTCTACAATTAGAGATGGCATTTAAATTGGTGAGCTTTGATGGGATCATCACACGAGTAAGTGTGGATAGAAGAGCGGTGGCCAAAGACTGGGCACTGTACTACTCCAATATTAGAAAGCCGGGGGGAAGAGAAGGTAGGAAACGGTGAGGGAGATTGAGAAAGGTAGTGGGAGAGGTAGGAAGAAGACCAGGACAGTGTGGTGTCCAAAACATGGGAGTCATCAGTTGTTTTAAAAGCTGCAAACGGATCAAGTATGGTGAGGACTGATGAGTGATCATTTGGGGGTTTCTATTGACCACCTGGAGCCAGAACCAGAGCCTTTGCTCTGTGCCAGAACACAGTGACAAATTATTGCTATATCCCCTTTTCCTAAGCTTCCCACAGCTTACCCCCTTCCTCCAAATATATGCCTTTTTTTTCCTCACAGGACAAAATAAAAGTGATTAGGCTCATTTTTCAAAGTTATTGAAATCTTATTCTCCCTCTCTAAAATATTATATTAAGCATGATTGGATTTAAGAGGTTCCCCCGAGTCTCAGCCACCCATTTATATACAGATTCTTTGACCACAGCTATAGATAGCTAATCTCATCCAGCACCTATGGATTTTGTTGCTCTATCTCCTGGGATCACCTCACTCTCATTGGCACACTTACAGACTAGTAATAAAAATGGGATTTTAAGGGCACCTGGGTGGCACAGTCGGTTGAGTTTCCAACTCTTGATTTTGGCTCAGGTCATGATCCCAAGGTCATAGGATCAAGCCCTACATTCGGCTCTGTGTTGAGTGTGGAGCTTGCTTAAGATTCTCTCTCTCACCATTTGCCCCCTCTCTCCTGCTTGCCCTCTCTCTCTCTCTCTCTCAAATAAAAAATACGAAAGAAAATGGGATTTTAAAATATATGAAGAGAGTACTACTCATTTCAAAGTTTCTGATAATTATTAATCATCTTTAACGATCATTCTCCCACCTATCCATTCAGTCAATAAACTTGTATCATTGGGGAACATATTAGGATTGTAGTTCTTCCAGAAATCTAAAACAACTGTAGTAATATAAATAGAAAAACATAATAATAAGGGACAAGTATCCATACTAGAATTGATTAATTGCTGCAAAAAACTATTTTTAAGTTATATTCTAATCATAAAGGCAAAAACACTATCAAAGCACAGAGGTCTTATCCATCTGCAAAGGAGATGTGATTTAAAGATTATGCTTACACTAATAACAGAATTAATTTAGATGGGTAGAGTATAATATTGATTTAGACATTTGGTCATAAACAAAGATATTTCTCATGGTTTTTTTTTAAATTTTTATTTATCTGTGCAAACTAATTTCAAAGAAGAGTATAATTTTAAAATCTAGAAAGCCGGCTGTTAATCAGGCTGATATTTTCAGTTGGAATGAATTCCTCTGACAGCATGAACATACACTCTCCAACATGTCTGTAATGGAAATCATTTCAGAAGATACCAGACTGCCACAGGCTTCCCACGGTCTCGCAGCAAGACAGCGGTGGTCTTAAGGACTGACACTTTTCATCTTTTTGAAGATAGACACCCTCCAGTTGTCGCCCCACAGGAGATCAGGAAGTATGCTAAGCTTTCCAGTGGACTTGGAATCACACAGCAAAGTGCCAGTGGAAATATCCTATCTAATATTATGATTTATTTTGAAGGAGAGTGGGAAAAAAAAATGATAGAAGGAAGCTGCACACAACATGGCCAAACAGCTGGCTGGTTTTATGTCCCAGAAACAGCTTGGGACTAACTATACTCACAAGATCTCTTGGCAGAGTGGCTTGATGAAAATACCGAAGCTGTGAGGAGAAATGTTCTTTTGCCGAATCCTTTATGTTGCTATCATATGGTTTATTAACCTAAATGAGAGCATGCGCACCATTTTTTAAAGTTCCTGTATGTTTAAATGAGGAACTGACTGATTCCATATACAGTACAAATATGGTTCCCATAGCATTAACACCAAATAAAATTTAATAATTTTAATCCTGGACATGTGGTGATGTTCTCTTTTATTTCAAGGAGCACTTTTAGAAGCAATAAAAAGAGTTTGATAAGATACAAATTTAAGCATGAATTCAAGGGCACTGGTGATTTTTTGGATGCCAAAATCTCTAAGGGTAACTAATTTTCATTGCTTCATGTGTCTATTTATTCATTCTTTACACTTAATTGATAACATTCATAAGTCACACAGACAACTTAATTTTAAACGTATTGCTGGCTCACCTGCTAGGTGCCAGAACTGTGGAATATACAAGACCTACTTAAATCTTTTAGAACTTCCTACATTAGAGGGAGAGTATTCAGTATTTTGAGATTCAGTGTTTTGGAAGATTTTGCATTCTATCAGCCTCAAATTTGTTGATTAAGTGAATTTATTCTCTACTAAGTATCGAAGGTAGACTCAAATAGCTAGGACATTTCATATTTTTCTCATGAGCCATTTTGAATTTATTCTTTGTGGCATCAGAATTAGTTTCTCATCCAGAGTTTGCTATATTTATTTTTCTAGTGATTCGGTAGTTTATTGGCAGTCAGTTTGTAAAAGCTCTCGGGGATTATCTAAATGCAGGATGTTAGGAATGGAAACATATCATTGCCTCCCCTGTCAAAAAACATAATTAACACACATGATTTATCATCTTGCAAAAGTGGATGAAAATTCCTGTGGGTGATCCCAAGTCACAGTTTCCCAGTGTATGTACAGACTGTTGTGTTCTGGGACAACCCTCAGACCAGCACAGACTCTTCTCACATCCCAGTCTTCTTAGCCTCCTGTGTGTGTGTGTGTATGTGTGTGTGCATGTGTGCGTGTGTGTGTGTGTGTGTGTGTGTGTGTGTGTGTGTTTTCTGTCCAAAACCTATGAGTCAATTTCAAGTTTCTTGAATAATTTCTATTTGATTTATTGTATAGGGAATAATAATGCATTTACAAAGTACAGAAAATGTGAAGTACTGTACTTCTTGAGTATATTGAGAGTTTCTTCATTTCTTTGTATGGTGCACATAATTCATTATATAGATGTAGAACTTATTTAACCAGTCGTACATTATTGATGGTAATTAGATTGTTTGCAGTCTTTTGCTATTACAATAAAATGCCATATACATATATATAATATATGTAGGATTTTTTCCCATAAGTGGGATTTCTAGGTCAAAACTCTAGGCTTTTGTAGTGTTGATAGTTATTCCTGAATTCACCTTCATAGTGGTTTGTGCCATTTACACTCACACCTGTAAGTGTTTGAGAATGCCTGTATCTCTTTAGTCTTGCCATCAGAGAGTATTAAACGCATTTTTAGGTTTCAACAACATGAAAAAATGGGAAAAGTTTTTTGTTGTGTTTTAAATTAGCTGCTGTTATTATGAGTGAAGTTCATTGACTTATCGAAAGCTTAACAGCCAGTAATATTTCCTTTTCTTGGAATAGTCCCTTACATCTTTTGGGTTTTTGTGTTAGTTGTTGATATTTCTTTCTTGCTGATTTACAGAAGCTCTTCAGATATTAGGGAAATCATTTTTTTTTTATCTGTAATAGGAGTACTTTTGGTTTTGTTAGTTTTCCCTCATTACAATTCTCTATCCCGAGATCCCTGTGAGAGAATGTGGGCTTTGTGCACCTTTAGAAGGTATTCTTTGCTAATTTCTCCAATTTTTATATGATTAGATTTTGTTTTTTCGGGTGTCAATTGTGCTAATTGTTTTCCTAAAAAAATTTACTGTTCCATCCAGGTTTTAATGTATTTTCATAGAGTGTATTTTTCATAGACTATGTTAAATCTTTGGTAATTTTTTCTCTGTCTGATCTATCAATTTCTAAAAAAAAATAAAAAAACAACCTATTGAAATCTCTCACTGTGACTGTAGATTTGTCTAGTTTCCTTGTAATGTGTCGATTTTCACTGTATATATTTTAAGGCTGTATAATTAGATAGTTTCAATTTTAGAATTACTTTAAGTTCCTGATGGGTTCCTGTTTTATCCGATATTTTGTAACTTTTTTTTAAATCAAGTTTTCTGGTTTCCTACTATATACCAGATTCTGAAATAATTTTAGCACATAATAAGTTTCAGAAAAAAATGATCGACTTAAGATTTTATGGAAATCCTAGGAAAATCAAGTAGATTCCATGCCTTGGAACAAAAGAAAATGGGGAATCACAGTATATAGAGAACACTTAACATATAAACAAATGAATTGCTTATACAAGTATTAAAAGGTCCGTAAACTTCCTCAATTACTTTACTAGGTTCCAGGGAGTAAATATGAACCTGTGTCTGCCTAATTGAGAGAAGTGAAGCTTAATTTTATTCTTCCAAGAAAAATCAGAAAAAGCCAGGTATTTTATTTTTGGTAACTTTCCTTGTTAAATCATTTCCCATATTGTGTAGATACACATCTCTTTGATCAATGGGAGACCAAGTGCCGATGACCCTTCTCCTGAACTGCTGGAATTCACCTCCGCTCGCTATATTCGCCTGAGATTTCAGAGAATCCGCACCCTGAATGCCGACTTGATGATGTTTGCTCACAAAGACCCAAGAGAAATTGACCCGATTGTCACACGAAGAGTAAGTTATGAGGAATCATATTGCAGCCTGTAAATGATATTTTTTACTGTTAATCAATTAATTTTTAAATAATTTAACAAGGTATCTTTAATATTGATTTGTAGGAGTGGTTTGTTGCTAGACTAAAATTCAGCATAACCATCCTTGGTTCAAATCCAAACTCTGTCACTTATTAGATATGTAACATTTATCAAACTCTTAACATTTTTAACCTTTCATTTCTTCATTTGTAAAATGGAGATTATAATACCTAGTTCGTAATCTTATTTTCGAAGACTAAATTAATTTTGTCACTTTAGGTATCTGTTCTACTATTATAATTGGCCCTGGGGAACTATTGTAGGAAGTGCAGTGGCTTTGAAACATTTTTGGCCACAACCCACACTAAGAATTAAATTTTATATCACAACTCAGTCCGCACACATGCACATGCACATACACATTACAATATATCCAACACTTTAATATGAATAGAATTAGCTGGTGGTATTATGGAAATGCAGATTCTGATTCAGTAGGTCTAGGGCAGAGTTGAGAAAGAATAATTCTAGCAAGTTCTTAGGTGATGTGAGTGTTGCTGTTCTGTGGACCATTTTGCCCATTCAAATAATTTAACTTTATGTTTCATTGAGTCACAAGCTATAGTTAAAAAAAAACACTACTGTAGGGGAAAACAGATTGTTTACACTGTTTTATTTTCTTTTATAAATAGAACATCAGAAAAAAACAACAACAGAAATGACAGCATCCCTTTTAATAGCTCTTTAAAAACAGGAGCTCACAGAAAGGCTGTTTTCCAGTGTTAAGCTGGAATGTGTGGATTGTGACATACATGATTAGTCCAGATCCTATGAGTAATAATTGTGTTTCCTCCTACCTACTCCTCACCACATTCACTGGTTTATGTCGCACTCCTTATAGGTGGCTACACAACTAGGACATTATTACCAATTCAGCTCTAAGTCCATAAAGAAAATCCATGCTAACAGAATATCTACTATATGACTGGAGGTGAAGGTGGAAATAGGATTGTAGAGGGAAAGTAAGATGGTAAGACACAGCACTTAGTTCTAGAATGATGCACTTAATTCTAAAAGGCCTGACTATTGCCACAAGTTACAAATTGCTGAACTAGCACACTAAATATTGAACAGCAGCACTTTTCACAGTTCATGAATACCCCTCAGATATATTTTCTTCTCATTACTTAACTTACACCTCACCACTCCATCATTACAGAAATAACTTTTAAAGTTTGATTATTCCCATACAACACATGTTGGATGTTTTAGTGCCCTGTACTTTCCAAACCTGAAACAATTTTCCCTTGCATAATATTGCAGCATATTGTAAATTATCTTATGCGGAAGCAATCATTATTTTTCTGCAACGTGTAGATTCTTGTTTAAAAAAATCATGTTTAATTATAATTTTGGCACGACTTGAAAATATACAGTGAGGAAGACTGAGTAATTCTGAAGTGAAATTTAATCTTTTCCGACAGTATATCTAACAGAGAAAAAAAATCAATGTAAATAAATATGTTCCTTTTATCATCTTTTGCAGAAGGCAGAGTGGGGGTTGGGAGGCACATCTATTATTTATAACTTCATTGTGCAAGAGCCTTTAAAATAGTGCAGTAAAATGCAACATATAAATAAGTCCTTTGAAAGTACTCAAGTTCAGTAAACACTACATATAAATTTAAATATATAAAAATAGGATATTGAATTTCAGCTCCTCTTCATGACTCAAAAGTGAAGCGCTATGAGTTTATATTTAAAAACAGATTTCTTAGTTTTAAAAGCATCTACAAAAGTACTGTATCAGCTTTCTGAGCAAATATCCCTGTTCATATCTGTATTATTAAGTGATGAAGTTAGTGAGAAGCAGACTTTTACATTACCTAAACTTCTAGCAAGTTTTATTTCAAGGTCAAGGTCTAGGTATATGAAGTAATAGAAGTAACAAAAATATTATAAAGGATACTCTATGTAAACAACAAAACCAAAGAGAAAAAGAAAAAAAAGAAGTAAATGGAAAAATGGAATTTGTAGTTAGGGAACTCAGATTTGTGTTTACCTACTTATTCTTGCTGGGTTCTTTTAATGTGAATGATTGGAATAGTAGGACTATCTACCACTGAGATAGTTACCTAGATTCTATAAGATAATGTGAAATACTCTCACAATTATGAAATGTTATATGCATATTAATTAAAAATTTTAAATAGTCTAGTAGTATAGTTATAAATTATCTTTAAAAACATAGACCTATATTAATTTCAGATAAGAAAGTGATCACATGGACGTTTTAACATAATAATGAAAAAAGCAAATGTTGCACTCATAGAAATTACTCCTTAAAGTTTGTTAAATCAATCCTGTACTTCATTACCTTCTATTTCATCTTAATGTGGTTAAGACATATTTTGTTCTGAGCATGATTTCCTCTAAGTATGTTGAGTTTCTTCAAATCCGTCAAGTAAAACAGTCCACATGTGACTAATGATCACCGAGTTTCCTATTATGGCAATAAAGGAGATTTTCTTTCACAAAACTACATAAACCCATTTTTATGAGGAATTATTGTACTTACCACCTCCCCCCCAACCCTGGCATAACAACTTGCTGTCAAATAATAAATACTCCAGCATAGACTTTGTACGTCTGTGGGAAAGAAATTTTAAAAATGGCCGCCAAACATACATGAGAGGCATTCTTTCTCTGGGCTATGATAACAGTTACTTGATACCTTTTGTGAGCCCTCTGTCCTTCTCTCTTGCTTCCAACGAAAGATAAAAGCAGAAAGTCAAGTTTTTAAGTGAATGTTCCCTTTTGTTACTTACACCTTGCAGTCAGCTTAACAGGATTTCTCCCTGGATTGCTTTTTGCAGTATTACTACTCGGTCAAGGATATTTCGGTCGGAGGGATGTGCATCTGCTACGGTCATGCCAGGGCTTGTCCACTTGATCCAGTGACAAATGTATGTATATTTATAGGATGCTTAGCAAAATGAAACTCTCAACTCTAAAATGCTTCATGAGACACTTTGCCGACAGGGATGCTATGAATGGGAGTCAGGTCCCCACTTAGGCGGTGTAACAGAGAGTCATGCCAGGGTGAAATAGAGCCGGCAGTTAGGATGATAGACTTTGAAGTCAGCCATCACAGTATCAAAAGACAGATTAGTTTTTTTTTTCCCAAAAAGTCTCCAAAACTGGTCTATCTATTTTGAAACCTCTCTAGCTATGACAGCCTGCTGTATGATTTAGGTTTAAAGAACGCCTGCCATCAATCAACCAGACCATTTCTTTTAAAGGTTTTCATCAAAAAAATTAATGCAAACATGAAAACTGTGCATGGAAGTAAATATGAATGGCCGTGGAACAGGGGGCTAAGGTGGGGCAGGAGCAATACAGAGAGGGATTGAAGAACGTATTCAAGAGTGTGATGGAACTGCCAGGTCAGAAAATGCTAGAATGCTCTTGGCTTGGATTTTTCATTAATGCCAATGTATTAAGTAAGTACAACCTCAAAAGATGAATGAACATCTATTTTTCTCAGTCATAAGCTGGCGAAATGCAAAATCATCTAGTATATATTATATGGAAGAAACATATAGAGTAGTAAGATCAGTGAACATAGTTACCTATGTATAGTTTTTTTTTCTTCTAAAACTGTAATACAAATGGTATTTCTCTCAAAGCTGGTTTTCTACTGCATCATAGTGTTACTTGCTAGGGAAGGTTCAAATGCCCTGGCATATTTTTCTGGCAAGGTTGTGGTACGGCTTTTCTGCAGGTGTGGGTGTTGTCGATCATGTGAACTGATGGGCAGTGTTTCCCAAGCTGTGTGAGCCCACAAGGCAGCCTTACAGGACCAGTTCCAATGATGAATTGAAACTGTACTCAGAACACACACAGGAAGGAGATTCAGTCCTGGGACATTAGATTTCTATGATGCCCTTTGATGCCTATGAACCTATTCTCCTCTTCCCACACCCCCCAAATGTTAACAGTACTTTGCATCCCAAACCAGAAAACCTGTAGATCTCAGGGATCATAGAAGGGGTTTTAGTCTTTAAGACCATTCTCAATTGGGCCTCTCTGCTCTCTTCTAAACCTGAGCCCAGTGATTCCAGTACTAGCCTGAACCTCCTTAGGCTGGTGTTGATCAAATATATCCACTCCCAAGTCTGGCACCTCTTTCCAGACTGACAGGAGTTTCACATTTTGGTACATGGTCTCAAAGTTTTCTTTTCTCTTCTATCTTTTGGGAAAAACCCTTCATTTATGGCTCTCAAAATTATTAAAATTATGCTTTGCCCCCAATTTCTGACCAGAAATCCCGCTGTGAATGTGAGCATAATACATGTGGGGATAGCTGTGATCAGTGCTGTCCAGGATTCCATCAGAAACCTTGGAGAGCTGGCACTTTTCTGACTAAAACTGAATGCGAAGGTATGTTCCTGAGAATTCAGCAATTCATGTGGTTCTTCCTTTTCTGGTATGCAGGTAATATAAACATGTGGTGATTTTAGGTAAGTGCCTGTTTCCAGTTTAGATATTTTATCTAGGGCAATAGCTGGTAGGCTCCTTTACCCTGCTGTTTTAGTTCCTCAGTTTTTGTTTGTTTGTTTTTTTTTTTTTAATTTGACGAAACTTACCAAATGCCTATGACTTTACCACTGTGTGGACATAATGAGAAATAGATAAAAGCATAGTAAAAGCATAGTGTACACTTACCATCATCAGGATAGATCTCTAGCTTATCCACACACATATACACACCCCTCCATGATTGACCTTGAACAATGTGGAGGTTAGGAAGCTGACACCCCACACAAACAAAAATTTTTGTATAACTGAATCTCCAGAAACTTAATCATGAATAGCCTACTTGATCAGAAACCTTACCAATAACACAATTAACACATATTTGGTATGGTATATGTATTATATACTCCATTCTTACAATATTATCTAACCTGTTCTTAATTTTTTTTTTTTTATTTCTAGGCTATATGGCTCATTTGTGAATATTTTCAAATTGTCACAAATTTCCAAAAAAAAAAATTCCAATATATTTAACTGAAAAAAATACACATATAAGTAGACCCGTGCAGTTCAAATCAATATTGTTCAAGGGTCAACTATGTACACACACACACACACACACACACATACAAAAATACACATACACGCAAACACACACACACACACACACACACACACACACACACACACTCCTCAAAATGCAAATAAGCAGTCAGCAAAACCTACAGTCTATGGGGACTAGTTTTCTAAATGTGTTTATATGTTTACAAAATGATTCTGGAACCAGTATAGCTCCAGCTTTTTCTGCCTTCTTCCTTTGTAGCTCCCCACCCTAGTAAATAGCTTTTGAATACCAATCATCTAGTAAATGGAGAAAAACCAAAGGGGAGAGATTATACCTTACTGGTTAGACCTATATTATTACCTAAAAAACAAAACAAAACAAAACAAAACAAAACAAAACCACTCTGGTTCATTAGTTACACCTCTTAAAGGGTGATGTTTGGGTACAGTAGCTGGGAAGAATATGAGAATAAAAGGTAACAGAGAAGACAAGGAAACAAATTCATAGAAATAGAATATTTATTTTAATAGTAATAATAAATATTTTAAATGTATGGTTTCTCATTAGTAACAGTATAAAATACTAGAATTAGAAATGGCACCAGTGATAATCATTAGCATAAACTATGCTGTAGCAATTATGGGACAGTGACAACCAAGAAAAAAGCCAGTAATGAAAAATAGTAAAACTGGCTGTGCAAACATGTGTCAACAAATATTCATGAATACTTTAATATTATCACTTTTGAAGGTAACCCATATGTCTAGGTTTTATTCAGAAGGGAAATACCCAAGAACTGTAACACATGACTTTTAGCCTAATACTGCCAACTGGCCCGTGACAGGGATGCTAGAGAAACCTGTGTTTCTGGAAATCTGCACAGGCCAAGATGAGACCTAAAAACAAAGACTTGTGCTGAGCTATAAATCTAAACCATCCATGAAGTCCAATTCAATTGAATTCAAATATTAATATCTTAGTGAGCCCTAACCACATGTTTTCAGTTCCATAGGTATACAATGCCCCCCAAACAGGCTTGGTAGACCTTTAAGCTAATACCAACTTTGTATTTTTATAGAAAAAAAAACTTTACCATAATGTATCATGTATCAGACATAGTAGGTCCTTAAAACTATTGAATCATAGTAAACTTTAATCATAAAATTCCCTAACCATAAAATTTTAAAATTCTGCATATACTATCCATGTCTTGAGTCCCTCCATTTTCTGTACTCGCCTTTTTTTGCATTTTGATTTGTGTCGCCCTGCTTGTGAAGATATTTTGGTTTAGAAATCACCCATCTTTACTGAATTATATCTGCAGAAATGTGCCACCACCACCCACTGTGGTAAAAGGGGCATCCTGTGGCCCAGCCATTGTTTACTTCATGTATCCCCTCCCCCATTCCTTGACAATCCCTCGGATTCTCCACATCTTCTCCCGATGAGAGCGGACATTCATCCCTAAGAGTGAATTTAAGTGAAATACCACTCATAGTCTCAAACTTCTTTACATTTAATCATGTTCCTCTTCTGTTGGTGGAATAAAAGCAATCACGAGAAGGGGTAGCACGGGAGAGGGATTCTTCCTGTTGCCCCTGACATTCTCTGGCACAGTTATAACTACATAATGTTAGATGGTTCTGTAAAATCCTTTACCCCTCCCCACTTGTGTATATATGTTTAAACAAGAAAACAAAAAGTGTAGCTTAAATTTGGTAGCAGCAGGGATGGACGAAGCAACACAAAAGCAGATTGCCGCTTGTTACATTTTTTAAATAGTGGCTGTCTGAAACAATAACCTTTTTCTTGTGGGACAGATGGGAGGTGGTATTTCCAAGCTTAAAAAAATGTTTCTCTTTTTTCCCCACAAATTAACAATAGGAGTCCAAATCACAAAACCTCACATAGATACTGTGTTTTTGGTAATATGTGCGTTCCTAAAAGCTGGTATGAAAAATTTTCTTTTCAAAGTTGAACCGTGCTCCAATCACCTTAATATGCAGAAAAATCCTTCGGTAACGTGACAAATCCTTCTAAAAGATGAATAATTACCTACTAATTCATTTGAGTTTGATTTGGATTTTCATCAATCTGGCTCATTTGAAGCAGGATATATCTTTAGAGAGCAAAGAAGATTTCTTCCATTGCTAAGCCTGAGCTAAAGACTGTTTCCATCACGTGTCTTTGACGTTCTGTGAAATAGCAAACTGCTGATGGCAGAGTGAAAAATTGCTCTTTGTGAGTAGGTACTATCCGCATTCTCTGAGGCTATAAATGGGGAGCTGCACTGGTGGGGGGCCATTTAAACAGCAACCAGGGCTGTAGGCAGAGGGCCCTTGCTGCATGGCATGTGAAAAGCAGGACTCCCAAACATCAGTGTTTTACCTACACTGGCTCATGTTTATAAATGCTAAATCTAAATGACGTGAGAATGGATTTACATTCCTCCATATTTCCCTCTACTTACACTGGAAGCAGAATCTTGATCGTTTCTTCCAATATATTGTTACAACAGGATTTGTAAGAATTCTTGTGTATTGTCTGAAAGATATAAAACTGCTTATAATGCCTAGTGATTTATATTTATGACTATAGGTTCCCTATAATAAAGTTTGAAAACTTTCCACCAGTATGGCAAGAAAACTCTGTTCTAAATCAAGAGTCAACAGACTGGGGAAGGTATTTGCTACAAACATGACAAGGATATAATATTCTTACCATATTAAGACAGCTTCTATAGAATAAGAAAGAAGAAAATTCAATACAGCGGTTAAAAATGGGCAAAGATTAGAACAGGGATTCCTCAGGAAAAGAAAAGACTTATAACCCTACAGAGGTTATCCCACTTATTCATAATTAAAGAAGTACCAATTAAAACAATGAAAATACTCTTTTTAACTCATCAAAGTGTTCATTTATTCGCTCAACAAATACTCAAATGTTTGCTATGTCCAGGAACTGACCTAAGAGGGTTGATTGTACGTAGTGTTGGTAAGGCTATGGTTAAACAGTTTATCATGTATGTTGAACAGAGAGTAATTTGGCAGCATTTTTGGAGGGACATTTTTCAAGTTAATTGAATTAAAATTGGCCTAGAAATGATACTTGTAGGCACTTAGTCTATAGATGTAGTCTATGGCTCAGGCATTCCAACAGGTGTTTTGCTTTCACAACAACCCTAAGAGGGAAGCACTAAAATAACACCAAGATTTCAATTTTCTCTTCAGAGTCACTCAACTGGCAAATGGGAAGCAGTCTGACACAGAATCCCCCACTTCTCCCTGACTTCTTTGTTCTCCCAGGATGTACTCAGTGTTACTTATCACAGAGAAATCTGGAAACAGTGTAACTGCCCATTAATAGGGATCTGATAAGCATCCCATTCAAGAAGTATCCTGTGCAGCCTTGGGGAAACATGCTAATAGAGAAAGAGCTATGGTATTTAGTGTTAGTAAAATTTGGAAATAGTTCAGAACAGTATATAAATGTTTCCCGTGTGGAAAAAAAAATAAAGGATTGAGTTATGTGCCCCACACATGAGCCTGCATACACACATATACTGCCCCCCCCCCATCCCACCAAACACACATATATGTGGAAATCCATGCAGGAACACCAAAGAAATTCAGGATCTGAGGAAGGAGATTCTGCATAAGATATCTTTTTCCCTAGTTCACATCCTAAAATAAATTTTACCCATCTTATAAAGCCTTACCCAGTCTTTCTGAGGGAGCAATTTTTTCACGTTTCTGAACTCCTATGCTGAAGATGAGGAGGATCAAAGGGAGGGGGGTGGGCAGGAAAATCAATTAAGAACTTATTTACAAGGCATTATGCTAATGATTCGACAGGCATTTTCTCACTTAATGCTTTTAAATATCCCTGTCTGGTATTTACTATTGACCTGTGTTTATGGAAACTGAGCCATTGTGAAATTAAGAAGTTCCCTACATTACATGAGTACTAAGTACTAGAGATCCAAGACTGGTGCAAGACCGTGTGATCTCAGCCATTAAGCAAACCAGCTCACATTTAGTCCTGATTACTTGGCAGTTATCATATATTTTATATCTCTTATCAGATATAAGAAAAGGATTTGTGCCAGTGGTTAGCCCTGTGAACTTGGAGCCTGACTTCAGAGTGGGGTTAACAGGACTGATTGGGTTACCTTTTTTTTTTTTTTTTAAGATTTTATTTTTAAGTAATCTTCACACCCAATGCAGGGCTCAAACTCCCAACCTCCAGATCAAGAGTCATGTGGTCTACCAGGCACCCCTGATTTGGTTATCTTTTATAATTAT